TCCTATTCCCTGTCTTCTCCTGCTTTTTATGTCAACCGTGTTTTCCCTTCTGAATGAGGATTGACCATCTTCCGTAGGGTCTTCCCTGCTGTCCAGCTTCTCTAGAAGTATAGATCTCAGTATATTTATCCTCTACTATATGTCTAATAACCACTTATGAGTGTATACCATATGTGTCTTTCTGCTTCTTTCTGGTTATCTCACTCAAGATGATCTTTTCTAGTTCCCACCATTTGCCTGCCAGAGAACCCCTTCAGCTGATAAAAACATTCAGCAAACTAGCTGAATACAAAATTAGCTCAAAAAAATCAGTAGCCCTCCTGTATACAAAAGGTAAAAGTGCTGAGTAATAAATTAGGGAAACAACACCCTTTATATTAGCCACAAATAACATAAAGTACCTTGGTGTGATCCTAACCAAGCAATTGAAAGAGCTGTATGGAAAAATTTCCAATTGAATCTTAAAGCTCCTCAATCCCTTTAACCTGCCTCCCTTTCATCACTTTAACCTGCCTGCCTGGTAGGAATAAGGATATTCTAAAGACACATTTATATCTCCCCCTTAGGCAAACATTTAGTGAAACCATGGACTCCATGAAATTTTAATTACTCCTCGAATTTCATTCTGTGAAAAGGCTGACTGCTCCAGATGAGAAATTCTCTGCTAAATAAACATTAACTCAATGTCTGAATACCTTGCAGGAGATAAATGTGGTGAGAATGAAAGAGGGATTTAAGGATGGCAAAATTTATTATATGGCTTGGTTAGATTACTTATTTTTGTGTTCCTTGCCTTCTGTCTAAAACTGTTAAAACTTCAAGGATGAATTAGTTACCTTATGACTTCATCACTGGTTAAAATTACTGAATAAATATGTTGATATTTTTTTCATTAAAAATTGATTTTGTTGTTTTCTTTTTTTATTTTAACAGTACCACATTGGGATGTCCCACTATATATCTCTGGTATTCCTGGAACTTAGTATATATAACCCAGATCTACCCTCCTCTCCAGAATGCCAGCATTATAAATAGACATGTCACAGCTTGGTAATTCAGTTCTTTTAATTGTCTTATTGATGCTGAGCAGCTGATTAGGGACATGGGCTCTGGTCCTAACTCCAGTAACAGAAGAAAGCTCCCAATAAATGCAGTCCTCCTGGTTAAGTTCCACTGTCTTCCATCTATGAGCAATATTATTTTCCTCTATCAGTGAGTCTGTTATAACTCATCTAAAATCTAGGGCAGTGTTCTATCCTTATTCTACAGAGAGAAACCCAGGCTCACACAGATGAGAGGTTTTGTAATATAGTTAACTGTAACTGATCATCTTACTCTTACCATCATTCTATTATATCAGTAAATGAAGTTGAAGTCACCCCAGCAAGGTATGGTGACACAGACCTGTAATTGTGGTGCTTAGAAAGAGGAGGCAGGAATTTCAAGAGGCCAATATCGTCAGTCTTCCCTGCAGCTCCAGAATTTCAGAGCCATGGCACCAACAATGGTTTGTTAAGGTATTTAATTGTGTTTGCTTGTGTTTTCTAAAGTTTCTTGTCCAAGGCAGCTTAGGTCACTTCAGGGTCAGATTCCTGTTAGTCACTAATGAATGGAACTCTCCATGTGGGGCAATTACCCTCAGTTGGGGATGAACTCCCTAATCACATATCCCATGGAAAGTGTTCAGCCCATATGCACAGAACCAACAGAAATGGACTCAGCAGGTTTAGTTCATACATTTGTACATACTTGCTCACATAATTAAAAGGAAAAAATGGAAAACTGATGCAAAAATGATCAAAAAATACAAACCAAAGATATCATCCACGATGACCAAGTAGGCTTCATCCCAGATATGTAGGGTTGGTTCAATATATAGAAATCAATCAATGTAATCCACCATATAAACAAACTGAGAAAAAAAGACCACATGATAATCTCCTTAGATGCTGAAAAAGCATTTGAAAAAATCCAACATTCATTTATGTTTAATGTCATACAGAGATCACGGACACAAGGCACTTACCTAAACATAGTAAAGAGAATACACAGCAAGTGTATAGCCAACATCACACTAACTGGAGAGAAACTTAAATCAATCCCACTAAAATCAGGGACAAGGCAAGGCTGCTCACTGTCTCCATACCTCTTTAACATAGTACTTGAAGTCCTTGGTAGAGAAACAAGAAAATTAAACGAGATCAAGGACATTCACTTTGGAAAGGCCTGTTTGTGAATGATATGATAGCATACATGAGTGACCCCAAAAATTCTACCAGGGAACTCCTACAGCTAATAAACACCTTCAGCCAAGTGGCTGGATACAAAATCAACTCAAAAAATATCAATAGCCCTCCTGTATACAAAAGACAAATGGGCTGAGAAAGAAATTAGGAAAACAACATCCTTCACAATAGCCACAAAGTACCTAAAGTACCTTGGTGTAACTCTAACCAAGCAAGTCAAAGACTTGTATGAAAAAAAATTTTCAGTCTCTAAAGAAATAGAAGAAGATATCAGAAGATGGAAAGACCTCCCATGTTCATGGCTTGGCAGGATTAATATAGTAAAAATGGCCATTTTTCTAAAAGCAATCTACACATTCAATGCAATTCCCATCAAGTTACCAACACAAATATTTATAGACTTTGAAAGAAAAGTTCTCAACTTCATACAGAATAACAAGAAACCCAGAACAGCTAAAATAATCCTCTACAATAAAAAGATCTTCAGGAGATATCTCCATCCCTGATCTCAAGCTGTACTATAGAGCGACAATAATAAAAACTGCATGGTACCGGCATAGAAACAGAATGGTAGATCAACGTAATCGAACAGAAGACACAGAAATAAATCCACACACATTTTGGACACCTAATTTTTGATGAAGATGCCAAAACCATACAATGGAAAAAGATAGCATCTTCAACATATGGTGCTGGTCTAACTGGATGTCTACATGTGGAAAAATGCAAATAGATCCATACATATCACCCTGCACAAAACTAAAATCCAAGTGGATCAAAGACCTCAATATAAAAACACTTAACCTGTTAGAAGAAAAATTCAGGAAGAGCCTTGAACTCCTTGGCATAGGAGACAACTTCCTGAACAGAACAATAGCACAGGCTCTAAGATCAACAACCAAAAAATGGGACCTCCTGAAACTGAAAAGCTTCTGTAAAGCAAAGGGCACTGTCGTCAGAACAAAACAACAGACTAAAGACTGGAAAGGATCTTCACCAACCCTATAACTGACAGAGGGCTAATATTCAGAATATATAAAGAACTTAAGAAGTTAAACAGAACAAATCAAGTAACCCAGTTAAAAAATGGGGAACAGAGGTAAAACAGAGAATTCTCAATAGAGGGACATCTAATAGTAGAGAAAAACACTTACAGAAATGTTCAATGTCCTAAGTCACCAGGAAAATGCAAATCAAAATGACACTGGCTATTTGATCACCTCTCCCTGAGGGGGGAGCAGCCTTACCAGGCCACAGAGGAAGACAATGCAGATAGTCCTGATGAGAACTGAGAGCCTAGAGTCAGATGGAAGGGGAGGAGGTCCTCCCTTCCCAGTGGACTTGGAGAGAGGCATGGGAGGAGATTAAGGAGGGAGGATGAGATCGGGACGGAATGAGGAAGAGGGCTACAGCTGGGATAAAAAGTGAATAAACTGTAATTAATATAAAAAGATTTCTAACTATGGACTGAAAGGGGATCTGAGAAGGAATGACAAGAAAGATGGACAGATTAAATAGATACCTGGGCCAGTCACTTATATGGCCATTCACTTATATTAGGCCTGCACTGGTCAGACACTAAGTCACAATTTTAAAGATTGGGAGCTTAGAGAGAGAGAAAAATATTGAGGGTTGAAAGTTTTCTCCAGGGTTGAGAGAAAAATATATGCATTTGGTTGTCTCTATAATATATAAAAGAACTCTCTCCTGTACCTTTCATTTTTCTCAGAATTTATGAAATGGATCTTCAGAAATATTACTCAATGACGACAGGAAAATTTACCCCCAAAATTATTGATGTTTGTCCTAAAATCCACTTACATACTTATGAAAATACCCCTTAAAATATGTACTTGATGAGGTCACGACCAATTTTATACTCTTCTGAATAATATGAAGGCTATGATCATGGCCTCTGGAGATTATATGGGATATGGTCCCAGAAAACACCTCCATGCTTATATGTGACAATGCAAATATATATATATATATGGCTTCGATCACAGCAGTCCTTAGCATCTACAAGATCACCAAGCAGGACCTACTTGGTATCAGCAGTTCCCCTGATGAGCGTAGGGATAATATCTGCTTCTCATCTATTCACACTAATTTAGAAATTATGAGTTCAGAGGCTTACATATATGGTCCCCTTTGAGCAACCAATATAATCAGTGATTTTATCTTTCATATTTTAAATAGTTTTTGAGAAAAATTTTAGTGTAGTCCACAAACTTCCAAAACTCATAAGTCAGGTTCAACATAACTATAATTGCTGACACGTGCTACCACACCTCTCTCCTTTTCATGATTGTTGCTATTCTTTCCTCAATTCAAACAGCAGAATCACACTTTAAATAATTCATTTTTAAAAATATGACTAAAACATTTGTGATAACAAAGTGAAAATGTGTACAGAAGAAAGTGTACTAAGCTTCAACCCTACTTCAAAAAGTCTGTGCTGCTGTAAAATTTTGAGTAAGAGAAATACCCCTCCCATAGGAAGAACAGATGAATTGGCTATCTGATATCAAATGGACAGTCCTGAAAACATATATACAATTAACATTATACTGACTGAGCTGATTATATTTATGTTGTTAGGAATATATACATAATATATATCCATATATACAAATGTACCTTAATAAACATATATTTGTGTAACAACAATTAATTAAAAAAGAAGCTATGATTTTAAAAGAGAGTAAGTAAGGGATGGGAGGATGTGTAATAAAAAATAAAATGGGGAAATAATAAGGTAATTATAAAGCAAAACATAAATCAAAAACTTTTATTTTTGTACAGTAAAGCCTAATCAAAGTGTAGCTTCTAATAGTACAGCAGCCATGAGGGACATACTCACAGGTTATTAGACACAAACAAAGCATCACTGAAAAAGGAGAGATGTTGTTTTTTTCTTGTTCTGTCTCTTCTGAGTTCTATGGGGCCTTGGCACAGCAAGGTTCGGTATAATCCATCGGTGGTGAACTCCTCCCAGGCTTCCATGTGGGTAAATATGGATTCTCCTGGGACAGGTCTCGACCTAACAGAACAGGTATTCAGTGGATAATTACAAGACTGATGCCGATACTAAATTTCAAAGGGTGCATAGTTTTAAAACACAGCTCCCAAAGCAGGATTCTGTTGAGTTAAAAGACTATTTAAAATGTAATAGAAAGGAAGAGGTCACTTAGGAAGGGAAGTATTGGGAATAGATTGGAGAAATAGGCTTTTTTTTCCAAAAGTGATCAACTTGAGAGTCATGAGAAGACTCAAGTTTGAAGAAGTGTAGCTGGTAGGATATACATCAGTGGTTAACACTTTAATACTGTTAACTCATGTTGTATAGGATACAACCATAAAATTATTTTATGGTTATTATGGTTTATTAATATAAAATTATTTCATTGCTATTTTATAACTGTAATTTTGTTACTGTTATAAATTCTAATGTAAGTCTCTGATAGGAAGATATCTAATATGCCATCTCCAAAGGGTTCAGGACCAAGTTGAGAACCACTTGTCCAGAGTGAGGAAGGGGGTAAATGAAGTAATTGTATTGCAACTAAAATCATTTTTTTAATTTGAGTAATAAAGACTATCCATTATTAATGAAGTTCGCCAATATTATTCATGATTTAAAAATAAAAGCAAGAAGCACATTGCAAAGAATCATATTGGAGAGAAAAAGAAATACTCAAATACTAGAGTGATTCACAAAAAAGATTGATTGCCGGGAGCCAAAGCCATTTAGTGGAGCCAAAGCCAATTAGTGGAAAAGTTAACAACAGCTTCACTAGGACCCTAGGTCATGGGTGATAGATTTATGTGAGAACATCTGCTCATTAGTCTTGGAGCATCCTTGAGAAATCTTAAGGAAACATTCTTATGGTATCTTGCAGGAGGTATCTCAAACCATAAAACACTTTTGCTATCTTCTGCAGCAGTAAATTATCCTTCCCCCTTTCCTGCCTTCTCCCTATATAGCTATGTAAAAATTTCAAATAAACGAGGTCTTGATCAGACAAACAGACTTGGCTTCATTCTTCACGTCTCTTTGTCCTACCCCATTCTTTTCACCCCCCCCTTTAAGACCCCATTGAACTCCTGCGGGTCAGGACAATTGATGCCAAACATTAAATGAAGGCCAAAGTAGGTGACCCCTAAAATTTGGCCATTGGAGTAGCACCATGGATGTTATTGTTCACCCTAATGTAATAATATGTGTGCAATAAGAGTCGATATACTTGGTGTAAAACATGGTGAAATGTATATTTATCCCCATTTATTAATTCCTAATGCTTTTAACCTATTAAAGTTCCACCTGAAAAAGGCAGCATGGAGATATCATTAACCCTGTGAACCTTAGAGCCAATCATAGGTTTTCAAAGGGAATGTGCTTTATTGAGATAGCCAGAAAACTTCATGCACAAAAAAGTCAGACAGCACTGATGCCTACAGAGGAGGATACTTGCTTATTAGTATATACTAAATGCTAAAGACACATAGAATTGTAACTGAAACAACCTGCAAGATATTCGGTAAGTAGTATACCTTGGACACATGATAATCATAAACAGATCATGTAAAATTAGAACGCCTATTTCTTTAAATGATTGAATTTTGATAGTAAACCGTACCTTCTGTAAATTGCGTAGTTTGACATGTTTAATTTTACATTATTAAATGACATAGCAAAACTCTACCAAATTTTAAAGTACTTTATAAAGATTTTCTACTCAATATTTCCTCTTTCAAATGGCTGAAACATTGGAATGCAGTAAAAAATACTGATATACATCTATGTATTGGCATTGAAACACCATAACTATGTAAGTGAACAGAAATAGATGGTGAAGAAAATAATCAGGTTTTTCTAATGGTTTAAACTAGTCAGTAGGGAGCACATATATCCAAAAATGGGCATCTTTGTCCATCTCAAAATGGAGTATATACAAGGACTTATAGGGTTACAAACAAACAAAAACAAACACACTAAAATACAAAGCAACATTCATCAAGAATTTGTGAGACAATTCTTATACAGCAAGAGAACTCATTTTCCTTGCCTCTGGCAAAAGGGACATATAGCACTCCATCGACCTGTGATGTCAGGATATCAGCACCAATGCTGGCCTCCAGGTAAACTGAAGAGGAAAAGTACTTGTTCTACATTTCAGAACCCACACCTGTATTCCTGTCACTTCCCAAACAAGCCTATCTCCTCCTGTACGCTGCTAACTCCCAAAATATTTCTAGCATTACTCTCTATCTCTTTATGAAGGCAGTTTCTTTACTTGTCTGAGCTATCTCCACTTTTCTGTCTTAATATTCTTTCTTTTCTCCTAGACAGCTTGGTCACATAAAGTGTTTTTCTCCCCTCTGGTCTGAACTTTTCTAGAATCCTATAAACATTTTTCATCTTTTATGCATAATAAAATTCTTTCCTGTAATCATCTAAGATTTGGTGTTTTTTCCTGTTATCCAGATCATATAATTGAGTATTTAAAATGTTTGTACTTAAGTGACTATTACTCTGCTAAAAATAGGAATGTATACAGAGATCCCATAGCTTTTAGTTAGAAAGTACTTAATGAAATGAATGAAAGTGTCAAAGAAAGACAGCAGCCAATGGTTTTCAATATGTACATAAATGAAAGGTATGTAATTTAAAGGTATGTTAAAATAGTACCAATTCAGTTTCATGGTAACAGAATTGAAATCAAATGAGCATATTTAGAAAACAGTTCTTGTCTAATCTGAATCTATATCAAAATATTGATTTAGGTTCCAAAGAACACAAAATACATCAGAAACAGTTAACAGTCTGTTGAAAACCAGAGAGCTTTTGAGATTTTAAGGTCAAACTCTGACACAAATTTAAAACAAATCCTTGTAGTCAGGATGAGTACCATAATTGGATGGTATGGAGAATAATCCTCTCATAACTTGGTCAGATATAGTTTTGAAGATATACAAACACCTTTCTCCTTTATAGCTCAGAGCATACTTCAGGTGTTTTATTCTTTCTTTTGGGGAATGGTACTAAATTGTAGTATGAGTAGCTTTTCATGAAGTGGGGTTTACATAATCTGAATGAATCAAGACATAATGCTTCCTGAAACCATTAGTGTATCATGAGAACCGTAATAGTCATTTAAAAATACCTTTACAGTGGAGCCTGGAATGAAGAACCTTTCACTGGGCACAAATTAAGCTTTTCTCTTCTGGCACTAAGCAAAAACGGCTACAGCAGTTTGCAGATGAACTACTGAAGTGTACACATTCTGTAGTAGTCGGGAAAAAAACCACAGTGATGTCAACATTCCAGAGCTCATGCCATAACTGACAGTGTGACACATGCATTTCATTTTCTTCAATCTGCTCACTTTAAAACATTTATTTTGAACAATTTTTGTACCACATGTATTTGAAATAACATTTTCACAACCATATACGTGTTTCTGTAAAAGATATATGATATAGATGATAGATAGATGATTGATGTTAGACAAAAGGATAGATAACTGTAATAATACGTGTGTAAAAATAGGAGGAATACTTGTACAAAACATCGTGATAGACTACGGTCAAACAGAAGGGGAGGATTATAGGGAGAAAAGAGAGAAGGAGGTTGGGATTGGGAGGAGATGAGGGAAGGGGCCACAGCTACAACAAAATTTGAAAAAAATTATAATAAATGATAATAAAAATGAATATTAAAAATCAATAATGTAAAAAAAAATCGTGAAATTTATATTCATCTCCAAAGGTTATCAATTCCTAATTCTTTTAATCTGTTAAAGGTCCATGTGAAAAAAGCCAGCATGCAAAATCATTAAGACTGTGAACCTTGGAGTCTAACACATGCAAAAAACATAGACTACTTTAAAGATGAATGTGCTTTACTGATATACTGTCAGAAAGCTTCATGTACAGAGAAGGCAGAAAGTTTTATTAAAGAATGGAGAGGAGTGCACATCTTATTAGTATATAGCGAAATTTTATATAATAATCCCAGAGAAACAAAGAATTGTGACTGAAACATGGGAGATACTCTCTAAGCTTCATAATAAAGAAATGTAGTATACATTGGGTATATAATAATCATGGACAAATCATTTAAAATTAGAATGTCTATGTTTAAAATGATTGTATTTGGTAAAAGTAATAATTTTTGCCTTCTGTAAAGTGTGTAATTTCATTAATATCTGTAATTATACATTTCTAATTAAGATAGCAAAACTCTACCATACTGTTAGGTTCTTCATAAAAATACTCTGCTGAATAATTATGATTTTTAAACTATGATACATTTGAGTATGGGAAATAAAAACACATCAGAAGGAAATCTATAGAGTGGCATGTGATAACTAAACCCATCACTGTTAAAATAGTAATAAATAATAAACTAGTTAGGTCCCAGGGAGTGCAAATATCCAAAACTGGCAGTCCTGGACCTGCTCAACATGCAGTATAGAAGGAATTCTGGTGATCAGAAAGAAACAAGCAAAAACCAAACAAACATACAAAAAAAAAAAAAAGAAAGAAAGAAAACAAAACAAACAAACAAAAAAACAGCATTCATCAAGAATTTGTGAAATAGTTCTGGTACTGCAAAATGGCCATTTTCCTTGCTCCGACAAAAGGGATACATGGCTCTCTATTGACCTGTAGCTCCTATCAGGATAGCAACACCCATCATGGCCTCCAGGTTCCTTGAAGGGCAAGTAAACGGACTTGTTATACATCTCAAAACACTCATCTAGATTTCTGTGCCTTCCCAAACAGCCTCATCTCTTTCTGCACTCTCGTCATTTCCTAAATATTCTAGAAATACCCTGTCTCTTTTCCACTAATTAACTTATTTATTAATCTTATACATCTTCATCACAGGCTCCTCCCTTCTCTCCTCACACTCCCACCATCATTCTCCCCTCCACCATTCCCTCTTTCCCTTCAGAGAGGCTCCCTTTGTATAACAACCCACCCTAACACATCACATCAGGCAGGACTAAGAGTATCCTCTCTCAATAAGGACAGGCAAGACAGCCCAGCTAGGGGAAAGAGAACTAAGGGCAAGCAACAGAGTCAAAGACAGCTCTCAGTCCAATTGTTAGGGGACACACATGTCGACCAAGATGCACTTCTGCTACATATGTGTAGCTGGACCTACAGTTAGCCTGTGCACTTATGAAAGCACAGTTTGTCTCTGTCTAAGCTATCTCTACTTTTCTCTTAATATTCTTCATTATCTTCTAGACAGTCTTAGTCATATCTGCTTCTTTTTCTCTGTGCTCTCAACTCTTCCAGGTGCCTCTGAACATTTTTCCCCTCTGACCCATAATAAAATTATTCCCTGTAATACTGGAGTGGCTACTAGTTTACTGGTTTCTCTACTGTTCCTGCTCATACATTTTGAATATTTAAAGTATATATTTTATTAAGTGAATATTACTATGCCTAAGTCATTTTACTTCATTCAGGGAATATGTACTGTCAAGTCATAGTTTTTACTTGCGAAGTGTAAAGATCCCTGTGAATCTAACAAAGAGAGACATCAGCCAATGATTGTCATCAAACACATCCGGCAATAATGTAAAGGTATTTTATAAAATACTGCCAATGCAGTTACATGATAAAATTGAAATTAAATGAGTAGGTCTGGAAAGTCATTCCTATCTAGCAGAATCAGTGTTCACATGTATCTGAAACCAGAAAGTTTTTGGATTTGGGGCTGAAATCTGAGCAGTTTCAAACAAAGCTTTGTTGGCATAGTGAGTAAAACAACTAGATGAAACAGAAAATAATCTCTCATAACTTGGGCATATAGTTTTGAAAAAACATGGATATCATTCTCTTGTATAATAACTCAGAGCACACCTCTCTAACATAGTAACTTTGTTTCTTTGGGGGAATGGTATTAACTATTGCTAACAGGACTAGCTTTTCATGAAACAACTGTTAAGAATTTTATCACAGGTTCTAGACAAATCAAGACAGAACATTCCTGAAATCATTAGTCTACCATGAGAATCATAATGATCATTTTAAAATACCTTTACAGTGAAGCCTGGAATAGAGAAACTTTCACTGGGCACAAAATTATCCTTTGCTTTCCTAGCACTAACCAAAAATGGCTACAGCAGTTTGTAGACGAACCACTGAAGTGTAAACATTCTGTAGTAGTCAGGGGGAGAAACCACTATGATGTCAACATTCCAAGGCTCAAGCCATAACTGACAAAGTGACACATGCATTTCAAATCCTTCAGAATTCTGACTTTAAGACATTGATTTTAAACAATTTTTGAACCACATGCGTTTCGAAGAAATAAGATATTCAAAACTGTGTGTATGTGTGTGTAATAGATATATGATATAGATTATGGACTGCGGATAGATGTTAGATAGAAGGATGGATAACTATTATGGTATCAGTGCAAAAATAGAAGGAATACTTGTATTAAACATCATGATAGGCTAGGGTCAAATAGAAGGGGAGGATGACCTTCCCTAACAGTGGACTAGGGGAGGGGTGTTGGGGGAGAAGAGGGAAGGAGGGTGGGATTGGGCAGAGATGAGGGAGGAGGCCACAGATTTGAAAAAAAATGTAATAAACAATAATAACAATATTAAAAAGACAGTAATGTAAAAAAAATCATGAAATTTATATTCATCTCCAAAGATTATCAAGAATTAGGAAAAAAATTCCTAATTCTTTTAAGCTATTAAAGGCCCATGTGAAAAAAGACAGCACGCATTAGGACTGTGAACCTTGGAGTCTAGCACATGCAAAAATCATAGAATACTTTGAAGATGAGTGTGCTTTACTGAGATACAGTCAGAAAGCTTGGAAGAGTGGAGAGGAGTGAACATGCTTATTAGTATACAGTAAATTTTATATATTAATCCTAGAGACACAAAAAATTGTGACTGAAACATGGGAAATGCTCTGTAAATTTAATAATAAAATATGTCGTATACCTTGGACATATAATAACCATGGACAAATCATTCTAAATTAGAATGCCTGTCTTTACGGTGATTGTACTTGGTGACAGTAATAATTTTTTACGGTGATTGTACTTGGTGACAGTAATAATTTTTTACTTCTGCAACGTGTGTAATTTCATTAATATGTGTATTATACATTTCTAATTAAGATAGCAAAATTCTACCAGACTATTAGGTTCTTCATAAAGATAGTCTGCTGAATAATTGTGATTTTAAAAATATGACATATTTGAGTATGGGAAATAAAAACACATCAGAAGGAAATCTACAGAAAGGCATGCAATAACTAAACCCATTACTTTTTAAAAGGACATAAATAGGTGTGAAGAGTGTAATCAGGCTTTCCTAATAGTTTAAACTTGTTAGGTCCCAGGAAGTGCAATTATCAAAAAAAAAAAAAAAAAATGCAAATCCTGGACCTGCTCAACATGTAGTATCAAAGGGATTCTGGTGACTAGAAACAAACAACAAACAAACACACATACCAAAAATAGCATTCATCCAGAATTAGTGAAATAGTTCTTGTCCAGCGAAAGAAACATTTTTCTTGCTCTGATAAAAGGGACATACTGCTCTCTTTTGACCTGTGGCTCCTCTCAGGATATCAACACCACCCATGGTGGCCTCCGGGTTCCCTGAAGGGGGAGTAAATGTACTTGTTATACACCTCAAACCATCCATCTAGATTCCTGTGCCTTCCCTAACAGCCTCATCTCTTTCTGTACTATCCTAATTTGCTAAATAGTCTAGAAATTACCCTTTCTTTCCACCGATTAATTTATTAATTTCGTATCTTCATCACAGGCCCCCATGCCTTCTCTTCACATTCCCACCATCATTCTCCCCTCCACCATTCCCTCTTTCTCTTCAGAGAGGCTCACTATGTGTACCAACCCACCCTGACACATCACATCAGGCAGGACTAAGAGCATCTTCTCTCAATAAGGACAGGAAAGACAGCCCAGCTAGGGGAAAGGGAACTAAGGGCAAGCAACAGAATCTAAAAGCTCTCAGTCCAATTGTTAGGGGACCCACATGTTGACTAAGCTACAGACTTGCTACATCAGTGTAGGGGGACCTCGGTCCAGCCAGTGCACTGATGAAAGCATACTTTGTCTCTAAGCTATCTCTACTTTTCTCTTAATATTCTTCATTCGTCTTGGTCATATCAAGTCTGCTTCTTTTTCTCTGTGCTCTGAACTCTTCCAGGTGCCTCTGAACATTTTTCCTCTCTCATCCATAATAAAATTACTCACTGTAATAATGGACTAGCTGCTATTTTGCTGGTTTCTCTGCTGTTCCTGCTCATACAGTTTGAATATTTAAAGTATCTATTTTATTAAGTGAATATTATGATGCCCAAGACATGTTACTTCATTCAAGGAGCCCCAATCCTAAGCTGAACAGCTCCTCCTCACATGATGCGGAGGCTCTGGATGGATGACTCCAGGGTGTGGAGAAAGCAGAGCTCAGTCAGCCCTGGAGACCCTGGCTCCCTGCCACATTGCTGCACTCCCCAGCCTCAGGGCCTGGAGTCTCCTTCCCCAAGAGTTTACATCACCTCTAGCTAGTCTCCTTCCTTCCTTTCTTCCCTCCCTCCTTCCCTCCCTGCCTGGCCCTGGCTCGGTATGCACCAGGCTGTGTATGTATGTATGTAAGCATGTGTGCATGTATTTTTGCACACACCACATGTGTGCCTGTTGTCTGTGGAAAGGTGGAAGAGCATCAAATTCCGTGGACCTGGTTGTGAGCTGCCAAGGGGGGTGTTGGGAACCAAATCCTGAGTCCTAGGAGAGTGCTCTTAACTGCTGAGCCATCACTCCAGGCCCTATACTACTCTTTGTATTATCATACTTGTTACATGTGCGTGTGCGTGTGTGTGTGCATGTTCTATCTTCTCAGCTCATTGCATTATTTTTTTGCGGGGGGTAAGGTTCTATCATCTAGTTCAGAATGGCACCAAGCTCGGAGCAATCCCTCTGCTTCAGCCTCCCAAGCCTCGGCATTCCAGGACTGAGCCCTCGGCCAACTGTGTAAACTGTGAAGCTGTGTCTGTGCACAGCTATGTGAGCTACTGGCTTCAACATGGCGCTGAGCTTTCCCGAGGAGGAGGTCAGCTTGGAGCCACCACCGACCCACCAGCTGGGATCCATGCTCCCCTCAACTTAGGGACTCTGGGGCCAGCTCTTTTGCCAGGCACTGCAGCAGGGCAGCTCAGTGGAGAGTGTGTGTATGGCCCAGGCTGCACCCCGGTGCTGCCGACAGCCACTAGGGAGACACACCTTGAAATCCCAGATCGTCATGGCCCCGTCGACGACGGTAGTGCAGAATTTATGACAGTCCTGCTGCTCTACCTTGTAAATGGACACCTGGCTAAAAGAAGAGTGAGACCATGAGGTCTGTGGAAGGAGTGAGGCCAACCCCCCAAGCCCTGTACCAACAATTGGCTGGGGGTGCACTGGAGACCCTGTACCAGAGCAGGAGGGCTCACTCACCTGGTATGTGGCCCAGCGGGTAGGCCCAAGACTATACCAGGCCCTGGCTGGGTCCCCAATGTCACATACACTGGGTGCTGGTGATTGCATGGAGCCCTAGCCATCTGAAGGTGGAGGCTAGAGGTTACAAGTTCAAAGTCAGGGGGGCTGGAGGGACTGCTCGGAGGGTGAGAGTACCGACTGCTCTTCCAGAGGTCCTGAGTTCAAGTGCCAGCACGCACACAGTGGCTCACAACCATCTGGTGTCAGAGGAGAGGGAGAGGGAAAAGGAGGGAGGGAAAGAGAGAGGAAGGGAGGGAGAGGGCTGGAGAGAGAGGGAGAGAAAGGGAGAAGAGAGGAGGGGAGAGAGAGGGAGAGAAAGGGAGGAGGAAGAAAGGAGAAAGGCAGAGAGAGAAGAAGGGAAAGTGGAAGAAAGGAAAAGAGAGAGGAGGGAGAAGGAGGGGGAAGGAGAAAAAGGGGGAAGGAGGAACAGGGAGAGAGAGGGGGAAAGGGAGTGAGAGAAGAGAGGGAATAGAGAAGTAAGGGAAAGGAGAGGGAGAGGGAGGCAGGAAAGAAGAGAGCGAGATGGGGGAAGGAGAGGGAGGAGAAGGCAGCTGAAACTCACCATGTAGACTAGGCAGGCCTGGAGCTCGCTGTGTACACCAGGCAGGCCTGGAGCTCGCTGTGTACACCAGGCCGGCCTGGAGCTCACTGTGTAGACCAGGCTGGCCTGCAGCTCACTGTGTAGACCAGGCTGGCCTGGAACTCACTGCATTGACAAGGCTGGCCT